CAGAATTACAATTTAATAAGAAAATGAAGATCAAGGCAATGATACAGAAACACTGCCTTAAACAGACAGAGTCAGGATATAACCTAACACCCTGTTGCTGGTCAGGGTGGTGGCAGCAGTCCCATTAAATGGTGGCTGCAGTCCTGTTGGAGTGATAAACGTGATTCTGTCCGAGCAGTGATCCTGTAGAAGGGTCTGGTCTTCCTCTGAAGGTCCAGTGGTGATTCTGGAGCTCTTGTCCTCTGGGAATCCAGTAGGCAAGCTGCTCCTGATGTTGCAAGGCTCAGCTTATATCCAGGTAGGAATGCTTGGATCCTCCCGCTGGGCGGAGCATCCAACAATGGGATGATGGAATTTTATCAGTCCTGCAGTGACACTCAATGGCTCATTCGCAGAAGATATCTCCCCTGGAGGGCGTTATCAGGGCTGAGTCATGGAAGAGATAAAGGAAACTGCCCCACCTGTTTATAGCAGTTGATGAAGATTTGGATTGAAAACATGCATTTGGTTCCATCTTACACTGCAACCTGAAACAGTGGGGGAATCCCTGCTCAGGGGGTGAACACCACCCCCCTTACCCAAACTGGCTCAGGTGTAAAACCCCCAGCCTGGGAAGGCCACACACACAGGGGACAATGTCACACTTGCCTTGCCCCAGGGCAGGTCTCTGTCCCCGTCACTCCCTTGCTCTCCCTCCTTTTCTCTTTCTTTCCATCTCTCTCTCTACCTCACATTTACTGTTCAATAAAATCTGCCTTGGATTTGGTCTTGCCAGCACCTTAATTAAGGCGGAGGCATCTATCTGAAAATTTTCTGATCCAGATTGCGAGATTATTTTGGCACAGTGAGTTTAGGCACTCTTCTCTGACCCCAAGTGCCTTTCACAACAGCATGGTTTCCTCCACTTAGGAGGCTGTGGCTCTTTCTGGAAGAACTCTTGGAAACTTGGACACAGTCACTCCTTCCTCCTGTGGAACTTATGGGAGAAATGATGAGGAAAATGGCTGCTGTTGGTGGCCAGTGAAAAAGAAAATATTTTGTTGTCCTTCCTTGAAAAGTTTATTAAAATCACAGGAGGAAAGGGAGCAAATGTTACCAGCGAGACTGACAAGGTTCATCCACCCCATGGTTAGGAACACAAGGCTGCTAAAAGTCACTCAGGAAGCCCAGCTCAAGTAGCTAAATTCCCCAATAACTCCAGCCAGGGGTCTCCGGGAGGATTTTTTTGGAGAGTGTTCGGAGCCGGCAGATCCCGGACTCGAGCCCCGGATATCTCCGGGCTCCCTAAGAGGAGCTTTTTCGGGGGCAGAGGAGCCGCGATCGCCCCTCGGGAGGGTCCTGGGGGGTCCACGTGGGGATGGCCCGGTACCGACGGGGCGGGACATTGGTTTTGGGGATCCCCGTGAGAGCCGGGGCTGTGGAACGGGGGACCCCCGGGGCGGGGAGAGGGGAAGGGGCGATACCGGAGCTGGGGCACCCCCGGCAGCCCGGAGATGAGGCGTGGATGGGACCCCCTGACCCTGACAGAGGCGTGTCCAGGGGTGACTTCATGATGCTCGTGCCCCATCGGTCCCTTTAGCCCAGAAATGAGTTCTGCACCTTTAAGGCTGGTTCTGAGAGAGAAGGGGAGGAGGAAGAAGCTGCAGTTTGTTTTCAGACACTGCACTCACTCGTCCACACATTCCGGCTCCTGGATGGACAGAGGGTGGGACAGAGCTCTCCTTTGCTTTTAGTTAGTTTTTAGCTCGCTGAGGCAGAGAAGTTCCCCCAACTGTGGTTTTTCTTTTTTCTTTGGAGCTGTTTGAACCTGCTCTGCACTGAACACACAGAACACCACCAGCAGCTCGCACCCATGGCCCACTGGGCCTGGCCTGGGCCGCGGCTTTTCCAGCACTGGAGGGACTGATAAGAGACTGATAAGAGACTGATAAGAGACTGAGTGAGCTGAGCTACAGCCCAGAGAGGGACTTTCTGTGTTTGTCATCTCTTTTGGAGTGGCAAGAGGTTTTATTGTTCAATATTGTTCTTTCTTTGTGCTGGTGAATGCTTTGCCTGGTAAATAAACGTTTTTTCCACTTTTTTCCAAGGAAATCTTTTCCCAATCCGGTTGGGGGAGGGGCTTCTTAAATCTGCTTTCTAGAGGAAACTCTTTTGGAGATTTTGTCCCAAATTTGCCCCATACGAGGCCAGGGTGGTGGGAAGAGGGGGGACCTCCAAGTGGCGGAACTGGGGTGAGGCTGGAGAAGGGGACCCCAAAACCCCCCAGCATCCCTTAGCAGGACCCTGGAGAGGGGTCCTGGGGACCCTTGAGGATCCCCAGCAGCCCTGAGATGGGGGACCACCAGAACCCTGGAGGGATGAGACTGGACATAGGACACTCCTGGTGGCTTTTTTTAATTAAGTCTTGATTTTTGGAGGTTTTTATGGACATCAGGTGACTTCTAGAGATGGACTTGGGCAAGGGAAATCCCCAAAAAAAGGCATTCACACCCTGTTTTTCCTGAAACCAGGATTTTCCCCAAACCATCCTGCAGTGACATCCCCCATGTCCTGCTCTGGGTGAGCTCAGTCCCAAACCTGACCCTGATCCTGGTCTCAATCTCACTGCATGTTTAGACACACTCACTGTTCTGAATTTATTCTTATCCCAGCCCCACACTCATCTAGCACCAGACCGAATCCCAACCCCAGCCCTAAAGCCAATCCCATTTCTAGCCTTAACCCCAATCCCAGCTCTAATCCAAATCTCAGCCCCAGCTCCAAGCCCAGCCCCAATTCCAGCCCCTTCCTAAATCCTCAGCCCCAAACCAAATCCCAGGTTCAGCCCTTCTGGGGGTTTGGGGGTGTCTCTGTCCCTGTGGCCCCGATGATGTTTGGGTGGGGTCACAGCAGGGCTGAGAGGGACAGAGACCCCCCCGGCCTCCCCAGGGGTGAGAAGGTGGCAGAGCCCCCCCAGCCCTGAGCAGCCTCAGCGGTGAGAGGGACACAGAGCCCCTGGTGCCCAGCCCTGCACAGGCATTGCCTGAGGCCAGAGGGATGGAGACCCCCCGAGCATCCCCCAGGGCCAGGGGACAGAGAGCCCCGAGCATCCCCTGGGCTGAGAGGGACAGAGACTGCCCCGAGCACCCCCTGGCACAGGGGTGAGAGGGAGGGAGACCCCCCAGGCATTCCCTGGAGTGTGAATGATGGAGACCCCTGGGGAATGGCCTGGGGTGACAGGGACAGGGACACCCCTGGGGAATGGCCTGGGGTGACAGGGACAGGGATACCCCTGGGGAATGGCCTGGGGTGACAGGGACGGGGACAAACCCTCCCAAGCCCCTCTCAAGCATCCCCCAGTGTGAGAGGCTCAGTGACCCCTTGAGCATTCCCTGGGCACTCGACAAAGTGAAGTTGTTTCTTGACAAAAATCAAACTTAAGCCTCCAGAAAATGCCTTGAATTTACTCTTCCCACAAGTAACTTGTGGTGGAAACGCGAACAAATTGCAAAATTTAATAAACTGACAGTAGAAGCAATTCTGTGGCAATTCCAAAATCCATTGGTCCTGCACAGCTCCAGCTCAGCTGCTGGCAAATTCTGATAAAAGAAAAGTGGAAATTCGGCCCAATACATTGTGATACCTCTTTTATGAAAAGAGTATGAAAAGGAAGGGAAAGCTCTGTGTAGATGTCACAAAGGTGACAGGGAAAAAGAAAAAAAATTATTCTTAGATTTGGCAAAGCCCCCAGCCTGTGAAAAAGAAAAGGGGGGACAGCCAGGGACTGAGAGGGACAGAGACCTGCCCTGGGGCAGGGCAAGTGTGACATTGTCCCCTGTGTGTGTGGCCTTCCCAGGGTGGGGTTTTACACCTGAGCCAGTTTGGGTAAGGGGGGTGGTGTTCACCCCCTGAGCAGGGATTCCCCCACTGTTTCAGGTTGCAGTGTAAGATGGAACCAAATGCATGTTTTCAATCCAAATCTTCATCAACTGCTATAAACAGGTGGGGCAGGGTTCTTTATCTCTTCCATGACTCAGCCCTGATAACGCCCTCCAGGGGAGATATCTTCTGCGAATGAGCCATTGAGTGTCACTGCAGGACTGATCAAATTCCATCATCCCATTGTTGGATGCTCCGCCCAGAGGGAGGAGCCAAGCATTCCTACCTTAATATAAGTTGAGCCTTGCAACATCAGGAGCAGCTTGCCTACTGGATTCCCAGAGGACAAGAGCTCCAGAACCACCACTGGACCTCCAGAGGAAGACCAGACCCTTCTGCAGGATCACTGCTTGGACAGAATCACGTTCATCACTCCCACAGGACTGCAGCCACCATTTAATGGGACTGCTGCCACCACCCTGACCAGCAACAGGGTGTCAGGTTATATCCTAACAGGGTGTCAGGTTATATCCTGATTCTGTCAGTTTAAGGCAGTGTTTCTGTATCATTGCCTTGATCGAAATTTTCTTATTAAATTGTACTCCTGGTTTAGACCCTCCCCAGGTTTGCCTTCAAACCAGTACAAAATCCACTGTGCTCATCCTTTGTTTTCCTCCTAAAAGAGAATTTCCCATCTTCAGTTCTTGGCCAGATGGAGGAGGAGGCTGTGAGGAAGAGGAAGGAGCCCTGGGACACGCAGGCAGGTGAGGAGGAAGTCAGTGCCCCTTTCCCCCTCTCTCCTTCTCCATCTCCCAGCCTAGCACGGCCCCCGGCTGCAGGACAAACCCGGTGTCAACCCCGTCCTGCTGGGAATGCACTGGGGGGATCTCCTTCCCCTTCCCTGTGGCACGGAGGCAAATCCCATAATGTCCTTGTCCTTCCTCCCCCAGGGAAGAAGCTGAGGATGGAGACCAGGGAGGACAAATCCCCACAGCAGAACCTCATGGAAGAGGCTGTTTTGAGTGATTCCAGAGCAGAGGAATCCAACAGGGAGGAAAATCACCAGAGATTGTACAGGAAGAGGGGCTACAAAGCCAGCCCAGGGTGCTCTGAGGAGGAAAGACCCACCCTGAGCCAGGAAGGTGGACAGAGCTTCAGCCAGAGCTCAGAGCTGGTGGCCCATGAGCAGCTTCATGATTGGGAGAAGCCCTACAAGTGCTTGGAGTGTGGGAAGAGCTTCAGCAAGAGCTCCCACCTGATCCGCCACCAGATGATCCACACTGGGGAATGGGCCTACGAGTGTGGGGAGTGTGGGAAGGGCTTCAGCTGCAGCTCAGAACTCATCAGGCACCAACGCATCCACACTGGGGAGAGGCCCTACGAGTGTCCCAAGTGTGGGAAGAGGTTTCAGACCAGCTCCAGTCTCCTCCTGCATGAGCGGATTCACACCCAGGAGAGGCCCTTCCGCTGCCCTGAGTGCGGGAAGGCCTTCAAGCACAACTCCACCCTTGTCACCCACCGGCGCATCCACACTGGGGAGAGGCCCTACGAGTGTCCCCAGTGTGGGAAGAGCTTCACCAGCAGCTCTAACTTGACCAGACACCAACGGAGCCACCAGTGAGGGAAGCCCTGCAAATGCCCCAGCTGCAGGAAGATCTTCATGCACGCTCCAGCTTCATCTCCCATTAGAGGGCCCACATTGGGAAGAGTACTGGGGATCCATGTTCCCTGTGATCCATGCTGGGAAGACACCTGTACCGTTTCCTGCCCCTGTCAATGACATGGTGTGGAATGAAGAACATGAGGGTCTGGCCATGGCCATGTGATTACATTCACTCCCACCTCAGAACATTGCCAGGGGCAGGAAAGAGACTCTCTCTCCCTGAGGAGAAGGGTGTCCTTTCCAAGGAGGGGAAATACGAAACTGGGAAGAGCCAATAGTTGATGCTGTAGTTTTCCCTGTAAACAGTTTTATTGATCCCTTCTGTTATCAATACTGTTTCTGTTCCATTTGTTCCTTATCTCGTTGCTGTTCCCAATAAATTGTTCTTATCCCAGCCCCGGGATCATTGCCTTTTGTGCTTTCCATGGGAGGCGGGAGGGCAGCGAGGGCAGCGCGGTTTTAGCAGGAGCAGGAAATTGGGGAATCCCATTCCTAAACCCCAGCCCATGGAGACTGAGCATCCCAGCTGGTGCCAGCCCTGGTGGCCATGGCAGCAGCCTTGGGAGCGGGTCCCTGGCTGGGGCTGTTGTGGAGAGCTAGGGACCTGCGTGCAGAAGATCTCGGGCTGTACGGGTAGATAAGAAGGCCCCCCTCACCCTGCAGTCTGACTGTTGCTCCGTACCCGGCCACACCTGGCCGGACGTGAGCAGAGAGAAGTGACACAGACTGCCCAGTCCCTAAATACCCCTGAGACCCCTCAATAAACGCCATTTGCTGTGCACCACATTGGTGTATGTAGCATTGGACCGAGTGACCCTGGGCCTTGGGTCACCGTGCCGGACCTCCCGAACCAGGTCGCCACGCCGTAACGGCAACATCTGGTGCCGAAACCTGGGAGAGTTGCAGCGCCCGGTGTTCGGGATTTCGCCGCAACAGGGGACCGGCGGCTGCACAGCAGGCCTAGTGCAGCGGGGGGGACGCCCCCGGACCAGCGTTGACCATGGAAGCCATAGCGAAGGTCGTAACTCAGATGCATGCTCAATGGGGGATTGATTGTAAGCTAAAAGATTTATGTCTTGCTATACTGAGACTTATTAAGCTGGGGGCTATAGACAGCCCGGTGGATATTCTCCATCCGGAGATATGGGATACTTGTACAAAGGTTTTAGCTGAGGAAACTATGTCCTCAGGCTCAGGGAAAGCTCTAAAGTCATGGGGCAGAGTCGTGCAGGCTCTGCAGAAAGCTAGAGAAGAGCAGGAGACCTGGAAAGCTGCGCAGGCTTGGTTATTAACCACGCCACAGTTGGGGGTGGGTGCGGCAACGCAGACCGCGGAGGACTTCGATCAGATCGGCACCGCGGAACTGCGAACGCTGGATTCCCCCGAGCAGACCGCCTTACCATCAGAGGGGGGGGAACACGCGCGGGCGTTTTGGCGGGGGTTAACGGAGGAAGCGCGGGAGGCGGCGAAATTGCTGGACCCCGAAGGGGTGGATAAAAGCGCACCCTCTCCATATCCGTTTGAAAATGGCGCCGAACCGCGTGTTCAGGGTGGAAAGGGAAACATGGGGGGCGGAAATGCAGTCAGCCTGCTTAACAACGCATGCGCGGGCGAGCGGGGGGACGGGGCGGCCCCCGCGGAGGAGCGTAAGGCCAATCAGAGCACTCAGTTCACATTAGGTCCTTATAGGGCAAGGACCTCCCCCAGTAGGAGGCGGGGGGACCCCAGGGGGAGGGAACGGCCCGACCCCCGCAAGAAGGGGCAGGGTTGGAGCCCGAGAAAAAGGCAGAGCAGCCCATAAACGTCCAGGCAGTCGACTTCCGACTCGGACTCGGACTCGAGCTCCGAGCTCGAGAGGGGATCGGGGAGTTCTGACTCGGATTCGGGTTTTAACAGAAGGAGAGCAGCCGCATACAAGGTAAATAGCCACAGCGCTCCTGCATGGGTGAAGGGGATATCGGAGAAAGATCAAACTCCGCTTACAGACTGGCGGAAAATAAAAATAGCGCGTGCTGAATGGACTCCGTCAGCAAAACTGGTGTTCCCGGTTCGGGTGGGGGGAGCCGGCGGGAATCAAAGGACCTATTCCCCGGTAAACCCGAAAGACGTGCAGGCAATTATTAAAGCAATTGCAGATAGGGGAATTAATTCTGCCATGGTTTCCACACTCATTGACAGCGTTTTTGGAGGGGATGACATGTTACCTTTTGATATTAAGCAGACTTGCAGAATGATCTTTGATGGGGCAAGGATGATCGTTTTTAAGCAGGAATGGGAGGATAACTGTATTAAGCAGCTGGCCCTGGTAACAGGGGCAGACCATCCACTGCACGGCTCCAGCATACAGAGGCTAATGGGCACAGACCCTACAATGATCACCCCTCAGGCACAGGCTGAGGGCTTGCGGGCACATGAGGTTATGACAACAACCTGTGCTGCCCGAGAAGCCATCCGTGTTGCTTCCAAAGTAATAGCCAAACCGTCGCCTTGGTGCACAATAAAGCAGAGTGAGAGTGAAAGCTTCACTCAGTTTGTGGATCGTTTACAGGCTGCCTTGGACTCCTCAACATTACCCTCAGAGGCAAAGGGTCCTGTGCTGGCAGAGTGCCTACGCCAGCAATGCAACTCAGCCACCAAGGACATTTTAAGATCACTGCCGCAAGGGTCTAATCTAGCTGCCATGATCAGACACGTTGCAAAGGAAGAACACCTAGCTCCCATTCAGGCAGCAGTTCACACTGCAATAACGAGTGTCATGGCATGCTTTAAGTGTGGCCAAGCTGGGCACGTGGCAACAAACTGCCCCCAGTCAGGATGCCCACCAGCAGCTGCTCCACCACGCCAGGGGAGACCTAGGGGACCATGCTGGGCATGTGGAAAGAAAGGGCATTTAGCTAAGGAATGCAGATCCAGGCATCAGGGAAACGGGAGAGGGAGGGGGCAGCCGGGCCGTATCCAGCCTCCTCCCACCTGGAACATGCAGCGGCCCAGCTACAGCAACCCCCAATGGGGCACAGGGCTCTCATGCCCACCACCTCCACCCCCTCAGGGAATGACCAACTTTGTCGCCCAGCCAAAGGCTCAATCGAACCCATCTGCACCTCAGGAATACCAAGAACAGCTCCCTGGGGCCGAGGCCCCTGGGTGGCTTTGGCCATGAAAGCATGGGAACGGGACCCATGGGTGGCCTTCGCCGCGAAGGTGGGGAAACACCCACTGATTGTGTGGGCAGTGTGTCGTCTCCACAACAGCTCCGACGACTCGGCCATCTGCCTTCCCTTTTGGGTGGACACAGGGTCAGATGTCACCGTCATCCCAGACATACATTGGCCTCGACCATGGAAGCTAGAAGTAGCCTCCATGGTGGGCGGAGTTGGAGGGCTGTCCCGAGCCCACAAGAGCGCCCAACCAGTGGCAATAACCCTCTGCACCGAGAGAGGACCGGGAAGAACTATCACCCTCACTGTATATGTGATGTCGGACTGCCCACCCTTGCTAGGGAGGGATGCCCTAGCCCTGCTGGATGTTAGGGTGACAAATTTATTCTAAGGGCCACTGTCGCGTACCCACCATTGCCCATCAAGCTGACTTGGAAATCAGCCGACCCAGTGTGGGTCGAACAGTGGCCCTTGTCAACGCCTCGAATGACTGCCATCATTGAGTTAGTTAGCCGTGAATTACACAAGAATCATATAGAACCCTCCACGAGTCCATGGAACACTCCTATCTTCGTAATACCTAAACGATCTGGTGAAGGCTTTCGTCTCCTGCACAACTTGCGAGAAGTGAACAAGAGAATCCAGCCTATGGGCCCTGTGCAAACTTCGCTGCCCATGAACTCTGTGATACCGAAAGGACAACCCTGTGCAGTGCTCGACATCAAAGACTGCTTCTTTTCTATTCCCCTGCACGAAGACGACAAGGAGCGTTTCGCCTTCTCCATCGTCTTCCCAAACAGCCAGCGGCCCAACCTACGCTTCCAATGGAGGATGCTTCCACAAGGAATGCTCAACTCTCCGACCATCTGCCAGATCACCGTGGACCGAGTGCTAGCACCAGTCCGGCAGAGCAATCCGACTGTAACCATTGTGCAGTACATGGACGACATCCTGATCGCCGCACCATCCACGAGACAAGTGGACCAGCTGGTGTCTACCATCTCCGAGACCTTAAGGACAAATGGCTTTGAGGTAGCGAGTGCAAAAATAAAAAAGGGACCGTGCGTGACCTTCCTAGGAGTGGGAATCACAAGCTCCTACATAACTCCTCCCCAGATGAAAATCCGCCGAGACATCAAGATGCTCCACGACATGCAACAGCTGGTAGGGTCCTTACAGTGGCTCCGCAACATCGTCCTGATTCCTCCCGAGGTCATGGACCCTCTAAATGACCTCTTGAAAGGGAAGAACCCATGGGAGCAAAAAACCCTGACACCGGAAGTGGTAAGCTCGCTCAACTTCATCGAACGTCAGATGTCAGAGAGCATGCTCACCAGATGGGACTCAAGTGCTCCAGTCGATCTGTATGTCCACTTCACAAAAAAGGGGGGAGTGGGAGCCTTAGCCCAAGGACCCCCCGACAAGGCCCAACCAATACTATGGGTGGTCTTGGGGAAACCGTCGTGTGCCTTTTCCCCGGGAGTTGAATGCCTCTGCAGCCTCATCATGAAAGGCAGGAAACTCGCCCTAAGACATCTGGGCATCAAACCTTCCAGGATAAGCTTGCCTCTCCGCAAACATCTCTCTGCGCAGTCAACAACAATATCGGAATATCTAGCCATGGCCCTTACAGGCTTTGGAGGAGAGATTTGCTACGCAGAAAAACCCCCTTGGACTCGGCTGCTCACGGTCATCGATATCGACCTCCCACCAAAAGTACTTGACCGACCGCGGGCGGGACCAACAATCTTCACAGACGCATCATCGCAGACCTCCACCGCGGCGGCAGTATGGCAGTCA